TGTGTGTGTGTGTGTCGGTGTGTGTCTGTGTGTGTAATACTTACTTGTGGTTACTGGCAAGTGAGGATTGACTTGGCGACAGCCTTGAGGGAAAGATATCATAGTCATCACTGACTTGCACGCCATTAGAGAAGGGCTACACAGACACACACAAGAGAGAAACAGAAGAATAATAAATAAAATTCAAGTGAATATGATGAAGTAAAGTACACTAGACAGAGTAATATGCACCAGATACTGTGTTCCCCCTTAGGAGGGTGGTAGTGAAGTTATTATCCCTTCAAACGGTGCGAGGACAGCAGACTGAATGAAGGTAGTTACAGCAGCTCTACAAGACACTGTCATGTTAGTCATTTATAGCTTCAACTTATACTCCTTTAAAAGGAAGATTGAGGTAAAAGATGTTGTGTGTAAAATATTTGTTCGGTTCAAAAACCGACACATTCTAAATATATGCATTTAGGCTTTCTCCACTCATCAAGCAGCAGTGTTTTGAGAAGTATGAATCACTTTCTGAGACTAGATCTGTTATAATGAAGAAAAAAAAACAGTACAATATATAGCCTTTGTCAAGCTCTGCTCGTAAAAGCAGTAGTGCTGAGAGGTGCAGCATTGGATTGACATTTTCCCATGCCAAGATTATCTGTCTTTGTGATGGAGATGGAGTTAGTCTCCAGATGTGCAATCTTTTGCACAACTGTGTGTGTTAAGTTGACAAAGCTGCTGAAGGAGACAAGTTTTTGACCCAGATTCATGTTTAAAACAGATATTTGATAGAAAGACTACTGATAATAACAACACATTCATTTAGGAAGGACTGGATAGTGCAAAATTCTGAAAATCCTGAAAAATGTGACCTTCAAGAACACTGCAACTATAAACTTATATGCAAAGCGCATTTGTCTCTTTATGGAAGACAAAAGTATGTAAATAAGCACATCTACTTCCATAATGTTACCGAAAGTGACAATGCTCTTCTTCAGCAACTGGAGGCACTTTGTGATCAAAGAGTCTCTTGAGGGAGAGGATGCGTGTGCAAGAGGGTGTGCACTGCACTTTCAATGATGAAGTGGAGACAGCATACAAATTATGCAGACACTCAGTGGTTTTTTCTTTTCCACTCAAGTAAATGCTGCGGCAGTCTCCGGAGGATTTGCTTGGTAACGTATGAGTGGTCATTTCAAACTGTTAAATCAGTTTTTTTTTTTTTTTTTTTCAGAGGTTACATTTATACTTAAATTCCAGCAAAGTCTTTATTTACTCATTAGAGAAAAGGCAGAGAGGACGTTTTACGGCTCGTCTACATAGAGACCTCGTTTTTGGTAAAGCATAAGCATGAGTAATTCAATTAGGCTTGACTCTTTTGTGAATTTCAACAAACAATTAAAACATGTGAATCTTTCTGCTCATGAAACAAGCCAGATGCATAACTTCCTACAAATATGGACAACAGCTATGGCGTTTAAACAGGGCACAGAAGTGTGGACCACGAACCTCTGGTCACCATCTGACAGACAGAAAACTAGTTGAATAAAAATGCTGATGAATACTATAAATCACTTAAGTGCATCAGGTACAAAAAAAAAGGCATAAAGGACAAACATTTAATTACAGACAGACATTTCAAGCTTTGTGCACCATGCTGCTACATAACACCAATTGTTCCACTTTGTTAATAATCTTTAGTTCAGTTTAAGACAACCATGTATAATATGTGCTTAAATGTTTAGTGTTTAAGATTTAGGTGAAAGTGATCTACTGGCAGAATGTTTTCATTAGTCTTTGATCATCTAAATTGTACAAATTGTTGTTTTTTTTTACACTAGAATGAGCCCTTTATGCCTACATTGGGACCATGTCCTCTCTACGGAGGCTGCCATGTTTTTTACAGTAGCCCAGACTGGACAAACTAAACCTTTTGAGTTTTTATGCCAACTGAAGGCTTCCACAGGTTCGCCTTCATGTTTGTAAGGGGATGGTGAGATGAGGGGTATTCAGCTGCAACATACCACTTCGTCACTAGAGGTCACTAAATTCTGAACCTTTAAGAAAGGCACATACATGTAATACAACTAAAACTACTGCAAACTGCCAAAAGCAAAAAACAACCCAACCTTAGCCCTACCTTTGAGCTCTCCTGGTTTCCTGTCCCCTCCATTCTGTGATGTAACCTTCCAAAGCCTGCAGATGGACAACTGAGGGGTCTTCCATTCAGGTGAGAGGGGCCGGCAGGGAGCTGTAGCTGGTGTTCTACTCCAGCCCTGTGGGCATCTGCCAAATGGTTGTCTTTGGTACAGCGTGTCTCAGCGGCCACCTGGGAGTCTGACAGTGCCCCAGTAGAAGAGGACATGGAAGAGGAACTGGGAAGCCAAGAGTGGCGTGACTCAGGAATTGGAGGAGGTCGCTCGGGTGGAGGCGGTGGAGGTGGATCCCTCTGAGGAGGCGGCGGGGCTGGGAGAGGCTTGTCTTGCTTCCTGGACATACCTGGTGAAGACTGCAGAGGTTGAGAGATAAGAGACCAGCTTTAATAACACTAAACCATGTACATTGTTTTTACTGAGGGTGGTTTTGTGGAGGCTTTCAGCACTTTGTGGAAGCTAATGGGTAAGATCCAAATAAAGTCTGAGCTTACTGTAAAAAGATTTTTCCAGGCTTTTCTATCTCTACAGGCTACTGAGAGGAAATTACTCATTACAGTTTCTGGGAAGGGTTGCAATGATTGCAATGATTCTCCTAATCGACAGTTAAGACAAATGCTGTGTGTGTGCATGTGCGTGTTTGGGTGTGTGTGTGTGTGTGTGTACAAAACAACTCCAACTTAACACATTAACTGATTTTCATCAACATTGTTGGTATTGGTAATATATTATAATATCAGTAACACACTGTGGAAGGTATGTGTAGAAGATTTACTTTTGGTGCTGATCAGTCCGGCCGACAATTTGTATCGAAAAATATTTAATGATCATTTGAAATGATGTCATGACATCACTATGAACTACAATAATGACTGTTGCTGCTAGTATTAATAACATCTTTACATCCATAATTATCACTCTTCTCTCTCCACCCTAACTGGTCGAGGCAGATGACATTGAGTCTGGTTCTAGAGGTTTCTTCCAGTTAATGAGGGAGGTTTTTTTTCTCTTCACAGTCACTAAAGTGCTGCTCATTGTGGGAACTGTTGAGGTTCTCTATAAATTGTAAGGTCTTGACCTATGTTAAGTGCCTTTAGATAATGTATATTATGACTTGGTGCCGTACAAATACATTTTAATTGAATGGATAAAATATAATGTAAAACATTTTGATCGACTGTATATTTAGATCAACCAATAATTTGTCATCATATGGTATGAAAGCTGTCATTGTCTGGGATATATTCAATGTGCGCATCTGTGTGTAATATTTACTAAGCATACAGCTTTGCCTAACTTTATGTAGAACAAATATTTTGTACATGTGCTGTGTGGTTTTAATTGTGAATTGAAAAGAAAACATTGGTTAAGTGATGAGAGCTCAACAGGCTGCTCCTGCTGTGGCAGCATATTGGTGTGTCCCGGTTCAACTGTCCTGTATCATGATACCGATCAGAAAACCTTCAGAAATTCAACATTTATATTGTGCCTCACTTAATTCCATCAGAGAGCTTCGAGGTCTTGTGCAGCTTCATTGTAGATATGTTTCTTACATGTTTTTTTAAGTACAATATTGTCTTTTCTCTTCTTCTATGCTTTAACAGGCTTTAATGCATTTTCTTTATATACATCCTCTTTGTTTAGTTTAGTATTGTATGTTGTTTTGAGCAAATCTGTGACAGCCATTGGGAGAATATAAACGTAGCCCATTTTTCTCTTTCTCTGGGAAATGCTGTGACTTACCTTCGGAGAGGCAGTGGGACTGGCAGATGGGGAGCGGATGGCACCTTTCTGGATGAGGTCAAGTCGTGGTGGAACAGGAGGAAGGCCAAGGTGCTGGACGCAATGACTGGGTTCCCCTCCATGGGCTTTCCTGTGTTGGCTGACAGGTGAAGAGCTGGGCGACACCATGGGGGAGTTCTGGCGCTCAGTACAGTGCTGAAAAATAGTTCAATTTCTTAAAGTGGTGTTTATGACCAGATCAAAGAGAGGAATTTCTATTATTTACCAAACTGGGCTGTGGACTGACTCTCCTTAACTTTTTATTTCTAAAAGTTAAAAAAATCTGCTTATCAAATTGCTTTTGATTCTTGCATTGTGTAGGATGTTACACTTATGTTTAAGGTTTATCCTATACTTCACTGTAAGTAGGACTAAATCATTTTATTGTCACAGTGTTCAAAATCTCAAGTTTGTAGGTCAATCTTTGAGACAAGGGGTGGGTTGAGAGTTTCCCCTGTGGATAGGGGAGGAGTTGGGGGATTGGGAGGTTGGTTGTAGTCTTTTCAGGTCCCTTGTCCTTTGTTGGACACTATGCTGCCATACCTACATTTGTTTAGAAGTGTTTACCACTAAGTAAGTTAGACAAACTGTTTTGTATTCTTATTCAAGAGAAACAATGGCTCAATCTGTCACAAGTTCATCAATCCTCCACCATTCTTAAGCCCACTCAGTAAATGGTTAAATGGCTCTTGGATCCTTGTGTTAAACTGTGCACCCCAGTTAGAAGAACAATGATACAGTCATTCCTATCCCACTTAATCATACAATGATAACCAAATTGACTATACACATCCAGTTTAAAATAATGGTCTTTTTCACACACAATTAAGTAACGTCATTCTTAGAAAATGGGCAAATCAGAAGTCTTTACAAATCAATAAATCAAATGTTTACCTTCCTAATGTTGGCAAGTCCATTCATGACCAGGCAGTCCTCTCTGTCTTCCTCGTCATCCAGCTCCAGCATGTTGCAGCTGTGCTGGTCCAGGAAGAAGCACTTGGTGCCCTCATTTCGTGGGTCAAAAGGATCCACAATGATGGGCTCTGTGCCTTTGATCTCACAACGGCAAAACGGACAACCTTGACCATCTGATTCCTGCAACAGAGGATGAGAGATTGCATGAAACAATATCTTTCTCTCTCTCTCTCTTCTCTCCGTCTCTCTCACACACACACACACACACACA